AAGTAGAAAGATGCCTTTGGTAACTTCTGGTCCGAAGCTCCAGCTGCATTTGAGATAGAAACTGTTTTTCTAGCTCATCTGTCACTAGTAATAAGATTTCTGCAAGCTGAAAGATAGCGGTGGAGCCCCATTGACCCTACTGTGGCCAAGTACTGCTTACTCAGTATTTCTGCTTGTGAACATAACATTGATGCTGTCGGCTTACAAGTGCTAGTGAGCTGTCTGTCCAGGTTCAGCAGTGGATAAAATAACTGAAGGTATTGCTATTTGGCTTGGTAAGGGATGTATGTATGTATATATGTATGTACTTCCTAAAAAGACTTTCTTGGGGATGAAAGAGCTGTGCCAACTATATATATATAAAGACACTGAAGTTGCAAAAATGTAAATAAAAGCCCATGTATCTACATTGCTGTATATTTCACTGGGACTACCATATAACAACATCTTTGTTCATGGGATTCCAGGTGGTATTTGTGTCTAGAAAAACTTTCTTTTTTTTAACTTGGAGGGGGATTGTCTCAGCTGTGCAGGAATCACCAAGCACGTGCGAAAGCAGCAATACCCGTGCATTGCCACACTCTGCCCTCTCGAGAGGAACTAGAGCTTACGCAGGCGGCAGGAGAGCATCTGCAGGGTACCCACAGCCCTTTCAACGAGCTGTAATTGCAGTAAATCGTGGATTCCGGGAAACCCGTGTGGTTTGTATGGGATGCTAAACGCTGCCGGCCGCAGTGTTCCCGCCGCGGCCGGCCTCGGCTCCGCTCGGCTTCTCACCCGAAGACAGCTAGTACCACCCAGTGGTGCTGGGGGTTATTACAGCTTTGCATATAATTTGGCTTCTATTTCGTAAAAATACCATGTTTTTCTTGGTAGAGGAAGAAGCAGTGCAAAGCGAGGCCAGTAATATCTATCAAGAAGCGATCGAAGTTCATTGATGCTGAATGTCCTTCCTAGAGCTAGAAGCAAGAAAGCAGTAGAGGGCCACAAAAATAATTTGGCAGGACCTCCTTTGGATGCAAATGGATTGCTAGTGTTTGAGTTGTTCCAAACTGGTTTGCGCTGATTCTGCCAATACTTCTGCAAAACAACATGTGTATACTAACTTACAACGTAGGGGTGTCTGGATACCCACAAACTTCACACAGCTTCAGAAAAGTTGTAATGCTTTGTTGTAAGTCAGTGATCACAGCTTCTTTGTAAATGAGAAATGAAAACATTATTTAATGTATTGGTCTATAACAAGGTTTCAAAGATTGTTCAAGTGCTGTAAAATCCTCTTAATTTCCCCACCCCCTCCCCCCATGGACCTATAAAGAATGAAGAAAATTATTGTTCAATATTGCAAGAATGAAAAAGGATGTAACTGATCATATGCTGTAGTTGACATATTATCATTAACTGCATAGTTCTGTTGATATTAGAGTCACAGAGCTTTATTATGTATTTTGTTTACAGGAAGCCTTCAAGTCCGAATCTATTTTGCCCTTTTTTTGAATGTGCCAGGGCACAAAGCATGTTTCAAAAGTATAATTGTTTCCTATATTGATCCTGAAAAGAAAATCTTCTTGAATCCAACAGATGGTTTTCATGAAACACTAAAAAAAAAGGCAGCAAAAATTACAAAAAAAAACCCCAAACCTTCATCCTAGTGTATTCATTGTATGGTTAGTGTGTATGAACTGTAAAAATGAAACCAGAAGCAAAGCTAAAGTAAAAAGGAAATGTATTGCAGACAGCGAAAAAATACTTAACATAGTGGCTTTTCCCCCCTTTTGTATCTTCATTTTGCAGAGTCTAAAGTCTTCCTATTAACATACAAAAACAGTCAATAAAAATTATTTTATTTCTGCATGGCCTTCATTACAATCTAAACCATTTCAGACTTGAAGTAAATATGTCAAGTCTGGAGGTTACCAGAGAATGCGCTTGAGATCTTTGTGCAGCAGTGAAGTGGTGGTTTAGATGATCTAATAGGTTAATAGGTTGGGGTTTTTTTCATCTATAATTTTCAGCGGCTTTACGATTTTTTTTTTTTAAATATCAGAACTTATTCATGCCCCCAACCTGTCACTAGGGGTGTGTGTGGACATATAGGGTTCTGGAAGATAATGTTCTTTTCATTAGACTTTTAGTACAAATTTCAGTATTAGGCCTGGTCATGAAATATTTTAACATGATCCATGGTGTGATACTTTAACTTTCTAGTCTGGCAAATTAAAAAACCCAAACAAACAAACAAAATAAGATAAGGAGGAGAGATTCATCCACTACTCCAGTTTTTTTTTTTTTTTTTTTTTTTTTAATATGGAACTGTTGAGCTGAAATTATTTTATGTTGCACATAATATTTGATGTTTATTTTAAATATGCAGTTAACATTAGCCTGTTCTTCTTAATGTCCCAAAATCTATTGACTCCCCTAAGAATGGCAATAATCTCCTTTGGTTTTGTTGATGCATTTCTGCTTTTGTGCTATAGTTAAGAGATGCTCATTTCAGACCTTGGACTGATATTTCAGCAGCTAACCACAGGGCAGTTTACAGGGGACTTCCACCAGTGATGAACAGAGCACTTTACAAACAATCCATGCAACATATTCCCACCAGAACTAGGTTAAACAGATGGTTAGTAAGAGACTTGCCTAAAACCTATTTTCTTGTTACTCTTGGTCCTACTATTGTAGTATAAATCCAGGTGGAGTTATCCCATTCAGCCTTTAAACAGGTGGGAACTAGGAATGTGGAAACATGGGAGTCTCTACATATTTTGTATGGTGCTCTTTTTGGAGCAGTATGTACTTTTGCAAGCTGTGTAACAATTTGGTATCAAGGTCAGCAAGTTAGAAAGGTTGTGAAATTTCATGATTTTGCTGTTTGGGGATCTTTTCTTCCCTTTGAGATTGCTAGCTCGCAATAATCCACAGATAGGTTGGTTGGTTTGGGGTTTTTATTTGAGTGGGAAGGGATCTCTCTTGCAATTCCTAGTAAATAATTTCACCTGTTACTGTAGATCAGTCCTTCTCCTTTTCTGTCCCTTTGTTGTTTTATCTGGTTTAGTTCCTTCTTCTCTTGCACCACCTTGTGCCACCAATATCTGTGAAGACAGGTCTGGGAACTCACCCGGTTGATGCGTAAACCAAGAAAAAATGGGGGGCTTTCAGCTGGATCAATTCTGTAGAGCCACTTTGCCATGAGAGAGGTGATAATGGCAAGCAGCATGAAGAGGGGTGAGGAAGGGCAATATCCCTGTCTGCAGCACCATGGACTAAGGCAAATACTGAATCACAACCCTGCCTTAAAACATACTCAGGACAGGTTTTAATCCAAAAAATAAATCTTTTGTGTCTCCTTTTCATGTTAATTTGCCTGCCAAAACTTCTTAAAACTCCTTCCTTACAAGTCTTTAACTCTTTCATGTCTCCCCTCATCCCTTTGTCCATCAAGTTTAACTGTGTAGCGGGGTCATAAAGTCCAGTATCCTCTCGAGTTCTCTTTGTGTTGCTTTTAAATAAGTCCTTTGTATATTCATTTATAAATGCTTATTTTGGTAACTATGTGCACAGAAGATTACCCAGTTCCTCACTTCAGTGATGGAAATAAGATTGATTGCACTAAATGTCAACAACAACAGACAGGCTAGGGAGGCTGCCATGGGAGGCCCCTGTGAAATTTCTTTTAACTTTGATGAGAACAGAGCTTGGGACTAAAATGGCTGATGCAAATGGGAAGGACCACTATCCCTGGAAAGGGTATTATAACCTCTTGGGGGTAAGCAAGTGAGGGCAGCTTTGTTAGTAGTCATCATAAAATGACGAAAATATGCATTTTCCCTTCTTCTCACAATAAATGACCTGGGGTTTGATCAGTGTTATTCCTTAAGAAATTTTTTTCCTGCTCACCCAGATATTATTATTCCCACTGGCTTTAGCTGAACCATTTGGGCAAGCCAGAGCTGCAAGATTTGAGCACTTTTGGCATGTACGGTGTACATTTAATAACATGACATAATTTTAAGGCACTTCACAGATGTTAGTGAAGCCTTCTGCCACCTTTATGAAGTTAATGGGTGTGATAATTTGGGAAAGGGTGGGGAACAAGGACCAGGACTGCAGTTTAATACTCCAGAAGTGATTTTCCATAGCTTTTCCTAGGAAGCCACCCCCCTCCTTTTGCTGTGTCCTGTCCGGGTTACCCATGTCCTTCTCCTTTCACCTCCCACATCTGCTTGCTCACTCTCCCAGCCCTGCCCTTGGCGGTGGCTGGGTGGTGACGTTGTGAGTGATGCAGGTGTCTCCTGCCACAGAGTCAAACTGTCTCCAATTTGTGGATAATGAAATATGATAGCTTTGGGTCAACAGGTCACGCCATTAACTAAATTAGTACTTTTAAGTGATTCACATGTGTGGAGAGAAAAAAAATATGCTTGTTGTTACCAGTAAAAATGGTTGTTGAAACACCTTAAAATAGTAAAAGAATTTTCATCACTTAGGTTTACTATTCTGATTTTCCATTGTTTACACGTGCCAATATATTAGTCAGATTTATTTTAAATCCTTTTTCAATTCATCTCAGAATGATACAGTGTTGCTGGGACACAAAAGACTTTTCATGCACTGCTTTCTGAAGAGATCGATTTTGTTTTAACTTCTAACTTGGAAACATATGAAAATAAATCATTTGTGGGTAAATTTATCCTGTTAGTTTTGCTTTAAAATAATTATCACCATTCCCAGCCTTTCTTGGGGGGATTATTGATCGCCCAGGAATTATAATCCAGGCTTCTGCTTATATGTGACAGACACAATGGGCTAATTATGTTGTCTTTTTTAGTTTTTGTTTTAGTGTGATCTTTGTTAATTGAATGAATTAATTTGGTGCTCTTGTGTTACCATTACAGTCCTTCCTATGAGTATTATAACTGAACTTGCTTCATAGGCTCTGGGTAATAGTTCCATGCTTTATTGCTTTGACCTGGTTTTTGTGTTTTCCTTTTTCACAGGTTAGTTATTATGATTATTACCAAGGAAGTGGTGACATGGCCAATAAATCAAGTTCCTGGTCAAGGCAAATGATTGCAGACAATACATTTGGAGCCTCCACACCTCTCCAACTTTTAGTTTCCCCAAAGAACAGAAAGGACATAAAGACACCATAAATATCCTTAATAATTCTTATTAAAAAGAGGAAGAAACACATAATAAATCAGTTTTGAAACTACAGCTGGTGCAAAATAGGAAAAGATACAAGCCTGTTCCTAATGTAGAGCTTGTGATTTGATCTGAGGGGTTATGTACACCCATCTCCTGTCTGACGAGAAGGGAAGGTGTGAGAATCTGGCATCAGCAGGCGTTGCATGACTTGCCTCCCTCATTAGAGTTAGCCTCTAAGGATAGGCTTAACCTCAGAAGTGTGAGTTTTAATGTCCCATCCAAAGTTATCATCATTAATGATGATTTATCCACATGAATATTTGGTTCATTTTTGACTTTTGTGAAGTTCATGGCCTTTACAGCTTCCCATTGTGGTAAATGCTGAAGCCTGTTTGCACATCATGTGGAAAGGTGTTTTCTTCTGCCATCTCAGAGTTTTGTCAACACTTAACTTTGACTGAATGCCTCCTTGAGTTCATGTTATGAAAGAGATTAGGAACTTAACTTTGGCCTCTGTTCCATGAATAATGCATTATTTTATACACTGTTCAAATGTCTCTTTTTTAAACTTGTCTTCTAAGACGCTGCCTCACAGCTTTAAGTCCTGACTCTCCTGCAGCTCTAGTGCATGAGGCTTTTTTGTTTTACACATATAGGAACCCCATCTATTCGTCTTTGACACTGGTGAATAGTAGATGCCTGGGGGAGTTTTAGGAGAGGAAAACATGTAATGATGCTTCCCTGACAGACACTCCCAGCCTGCACCCAAGATGGTGCCTGTAGATTTTTCTCCATAAATTTGAACTCCAAAACGACATAGGTAATTCTGGACATAGCACAGTCCTATGGCTTAAGAATACATTGAATGAAAAAGTATTTCCTCTTGCTTATCTGAACTTGCTGCTTGCTTGTATCTTTAGTGAGCTTTTAGTTCTTGGATTAGAAGAAAATGAACAATCTTTCTTTCCCTTTTTAACTTTTTCTCATCACTAATGATTTCATTAGCCTGTACCATACCACCCTGCAGTCAGGTCTGGAGAATCTGCTTCCTTAATCAACCCTGATGTGACAGCTGTACCTTAGCATCAGTCACCATTGTTGCCTTTTCCACACCTTTTCTAGGTCTTCTGTAACTTTTCAGGTGAGGCAGAATCAGAACTGCACAGCGATATTAATTTTGTAGGTGCAGCACTGGAACACTCTTGATTTTATTCTTTCCACCCTTCCTACTATTTTATGTAATATGATCCGTCTTTCTTAACTGATACATTTTCATACAGCTATTTTAAGTTCAAAATCTCTTTTCTGAGTAGTTATGAACTGTTCAGAAGCCTCCATGTATATAAATGATGGCTGCTTTTTCTGACTGTCGTCTTGCCATTTTCTTCATCCAGTTAGTATCTTCTGAAGTTTCTGCAGTTCTTCTCAGTTGCCCTTTATTCTTACAATTTTGTTGCCTCACTACTCACCCTCCTTTATACATTTTTAGGAATTTGTTAAACAGCATAGCTCCCAGCACTAGTCTGTACCAGAATATTCTCCTTCTATTGAGAAACCTGAATATTTTTTCCTGCTATCTGAAGAGACCTTCCCTCTTGCTCTGTGGCAGTTTAGCTTCTTCTCCAGTCTTTGGTGAGAGACCTTGTTTAACATCTTCACAACATTCTTCTTGTGAAACTGGCTGCTTGTGGCTTTCATAGGCATACACTTCACTGGGTTAAAAACTGGCTGGATGGCTGGGCCCGAAGAGTTGTGGTTAACTGAGTTAAATCCAGTTGGTGGCTGGTCACGAGTGGTGTCCCCCAGGGCTTGGTTTTGGGACCACTTTATTGACCCAAAGCAAAGTTTAACATCTTTATTGATGATCTGGACGAGGGGATCGAGTGCACCCTCAGTCAGTTTGCAGATGACACCCAGTTGGGTGGGAGTGTTGATCTGCTCGAGGGTAGGGAGGCTCTGCAGAGAGACCTGGACAGGCTGGAGCCATGGGCTGAGCCCAACTGGAGGAGTTTCCATAAGGCCAAATGCCGGGGGCTGCCCTTGGGCCACAACAACCCCCAGCAGCGCTACAGGCTTGGGGAGGAGTGGCTGGAGAGCTGCCAGTCAGAGAGGGACCTGGGGGTGTTGATTGACAGCCGGCTGAACAGGAGCCAGCAGTGTGCCCAGGGGGCCAAGAAGGCCAATGGCATCCTGGCTTGTGTCAGCAATAGCGTGGCCAGCAGGGACAGGGAAGGGATCTGACCCCTGTACTTGGCACTGGTGAGGCCGCCCCTCGATTCCTGTGTTCAGTTTTGGGCCCCTCACTACAAAAAGGACATTGAATGACTCGAGCGTGTCCAGGGAAGGGCAACGGAGCTGGTGCAGGGTCTGGAGCACAGGTCGTACAGGGAGCGGCTGAGGGAACTGGGGGTGTTTAGTCTGGAGAAGAGGAGGCTGAGGGGAGACCTCATCGCCCTCTACAGGTACCTGAAAGGAGGGTGCAGAGAGCTGGGGATGAGCCTCTTTAACCAAGGAATAAGCAATAGGACAAGAGGTAATAGCCTCAAGTTGCACCAGGTAAGGCTTAGAGTAGATATTAGGAAGCATTTATTTCCAGAAGGGGTTGTTAGGGTTGGAATGGGCTGCCCAGGGAGGTGGTGGAGTCCCCATCCCTGGAGGTGTTTAAGAGTCGCGTTGACATAGCGCTGAGGGATCTGGTGCAGTTGGGAACTGTCAGTAAGGTTAGTGGTTGAACTAGATGATCTTCAAGGTCTTTTCCAACCTAGATGATTCTGTGATTCTGTCTTTCAGAAATTCAAGCAAACAATCTATTGTATTTTCCTTGACCATGGGCTGACTGGTTTGTTTCTTGAAGTCTTAATATATCCATGAGGTATCAGAGACTTTTCTTCCCTATTCCCTGTGGAATTGTTCAGCTAATCATAAGACTCCTTACACATAATTTTATTGCATCTACCACTGAAGCCTTTTGCATACTTCTTCCAGCCACAAAATTCACACTTTATTGCATATTTTGCAAACACACTCTGTATGCTATTGGCTTGGAGAGTCACGTTTCTCTTCCTCCTTTAGGAGAAGCGATGAGTTCCCTTCCTCTCTTGGCCAAGGCATTATTCTGTGTTTCAGAGTCTTGCTCAGGTCTTCTTCAGAGCATCCCCAGGAAAACTGCCTTTGGATTCAACTCGTGTCCTATTACTAGAATTCCTTATTACTGTAGCATTTGGGATGTTGCTGTATGAAGCAGATATATATGCCCAAAGAGGCATCTTAGTTTGAAAGTATAAGGCAGTACCAAGCAGATCAGTCTATAGTTGAGTTTATACCAACGAGAGCTTTTTCTGATTATTAGATTTTTTTGTAATGAAAAGTGAAAGCCTGTTGGTGAAATACTGGATTTTTCTGAACTCCCAGAAGAATGAAGCAAATTGAACTAGGAGTGGAATTTGGCCATGGTCAACAAGGTCAGGAGAGGAGAGCAGCTATTTTCATTCTGCATGAGGCTTGTACAACAAAGAGGCAGTGACATCCTTTAAGCTATTATCCTGAAAGAATGCCCCAGTTTTGTTCCATAACATACCTGCTCCTTTTCCCTATGAAAGTATTTTTTGCTGTCTGTGCAGTCCCAAGACTTGTTTCATGTGCCTGTGGGAGGGGTATGAGAGCTAAGGGACATCTAAAAGAATTGCAGCAGGTTAGTGTAAAACTGAGGAATTCCTCAGACAACATTTTGGCACTGGGGAGGATTATGTCATTTACCCAGGGGTCGGACTTAGGTTTAGCACTTCTCATTGTTTCCATTTGCTGCAATCTTCAGAGGAGACACTATGATTATATATCACCAGACTAATTCTCACACTTTTCCGAGAAAACGGATCTAAATGGGTAGAAGAAACCTAGGCACTTAACATCTTTCCCTTCTTAAGTCTGCAGCTAACCCTTGTGAGTTCATATTTGCGCGCATAATGTTCAAAAAAAATATGTGAGCTGTCTCCAGGCTTTCTGGGCCATTTGGGATGAATAAGCGTAGCTATTCTTGGAAAAAAACTTGTGGCATGGCCAGTGTAGACCTCTAAATGTCCATCAGCAGGCGAGATTGTTTGAGAGCTGTCAATGGGATTCTGTGCAGGCGGAGGGGCCTGCCACACTGAGCCCATTGTGGGACCCAGGCCTTCCCCCTCTTGCAGGATGAGATCTATTTGAGGACCAGGCACTTAACGCAGTCCAGTTTGCAGGAGGTAATGAATAACCTCTCATCCTGCTCTTTAAGGCCCCCTTTAGAAGACGCTTTTTCTGAAGTTTCAATGTAATGTCTGGGGGGAGGATGGGGAAATATCCATAATCAGTTGCCTGAGTTTTATTTTTATCGAGTTTTAGGACGAGAGGGGGAAGGAATTCTATGAACCTAAATCTGGTCCCTTCATCACACAAGTGTGAGTACAAATATGGGCTGTCTCCTCGTTGTTCAGATGAGCCCCATGCTCTGAATATGCCTTGGAGGGAAAAGAAAAAGGCTTCCTATTTTAACCTCCGTCCTGTCACACTCACTAATTGCTGTATTTCAGACTCTCATGCAAGAACATCTAGAGTTGTCTGAAGATATGCAGATAAACCGCATTCACAAATAATAACAATAATTTATTTTAAAAATCAAATCTCTCACTTTGTGAGTGATGGAGAGACACTGAATCTTTAATTTCCTCCCTGAAAGGCTATAAATCCCTTGAATGAGGGTTTCTTTACACAAAGAAACACAGCACAAAGAAGTTACAAGGAAAAAGAAGGGAGTAAAATGCAGGCCAATTATGCTCTAGCTCTGGAGTGTTGCTGCCAAGGCTATTTATTTTCACAGACAGTGTTAATTTTGTATGCACACACAGAGCTTTGGTTGCTGATACCACAGTGAATTTTAATTTTGGAGAAGGCTCTGGTCCTTGTCACCCTTATATTCACCTCCCTATTTATGAGATATGAAGATGTTTTTGACTGGAGATCTCCAGGT